CTCTCCATCAGGACGCCTCGCACTTGACCGGAGTAGGACAAGACCTCACGCACCCGACTATCCAAATTCATCTCGGTACCCTCGAAAACGGCAAGATTTCTCCAACGCCACAAACGCCAAGTTGTGAGCCCAAACAAAGTCACCCAATCTTCCGCTTCGGGAAGGAGACGACCCGAAAGATTTTGTAACAACCAACTCCGGAGATTGAAAGAGAAGAACCGTCGCCACTGGGCCCGCGGGACTAAACATTGCCACATTGGCCTAGCCGTCTCACAGTCGCGCAACACATGCAACGTGGACTCCACCGCCGCTGCGCACACCAGACACGCAGGTGAGCTCACCATGTGCCGTCGCACTCGCATCTCGTTGGTCAAAAGGCTCTCCCTCGCAGCCAACCACAGAAATGTATGGACCCGCTGCGGCCCCCCCACCTCCAGATCAGCCTCCATAAACCATCCTCACGACCAGCACCAGGTTGCTGCAACACCGCATAAGCCGACTTTGTGGAGAAAGACCCATCGGCCGACCACCCCCAATACATACCATCTTTTCGGCCATCCTCCCGTGGCGGCGGGATCGCGGCAATTCGAAGCAAACAGGTCGCCGGCAGCCACCCTTGAAATGCCGGCCAATCCCACCAGCCATCGGCCCCTACGTAAGCGTTAGCGGGGGCAAACAGGAACTCCTCCGGAGTCGGGCAAGTCCATTAGGTTTTTTAAACATGCTGCAGTAGCCGAATTATTTATAATTAAAAAAGGCAGGCTAACCCGCTGAACCTGCAGCCAATGGCGGGGCGGGTTGGGCCGACATTTTACAGGCTCGCCAGGATGACGGGCTTCAACGGGCTACGAATTGGCCCGCCCTGCCAGCCCGCTTTGACAGCTCTACCCGTACACTACACATAACTGCCACACCCAATCCTTGCTTAACACATAGCAGGTCGGGTAACAACCAAAAGGAAAAAACGCACAGACGCCTTAATAAGTGTCTTACGACATCGTCCATAAAACGGAAAATAAAAATGCAACACTAAAAACACATAAAATGCATAAATATAAAAGTAGAATTTCTTCCAAAATTAAAATAAATTTCACATGATTCGTCTCTTTATTGCAATTCGTTTCATATATATATAGAAAGAGAGATTCTATGAATACTAATTTGGTTGAATGGAAGAAAACCCCGGACAGTTCAATGCAGTCAATGGCCCTACATCCGAGCAGGATTATATGGTATCCCCTTATCGGCAATCCAGGAATCCCCAACCATGAACTCCCCTGGGGCGAACGCCGCTGCCCCTTGGACAGACACGGCCTTGATCCCTGGCCACTTGACCCGCCTGCTCAGGTCGGCCCCTGGGCCCTTGTTATTCACCTCCGCATACCAACACGTGCCCAGATTTGCTGTCGACCCCTCCCACGTAGCCCACCCGTCAGGGTTTATCACCCCATCGATCTCGCTGTCCATCACGATGGTCCGCGAGAAGTCCTTCCACGGCCGGCCCAGGTATGCCTTGTACGACTTGTCGTTCACCGGGTAGTCGGGCGCCGGAAGGATCCTGCAATTCTGGAGCACGGTGGCTGAAGTCTGGTTCACGAGGGTCCTCCCCTGTGCCGTCACCATGCACATCTTCTGAGTCTCCAGTGGCTTCCGGATGAGTAGGGTGCAGTTCTGGAAGACGGCACGCGCGTTGCCAAAGATGAAGTCGATTGTGCCGCTGATGGTGCAGTCCCGGTAGAACTGGCGGTGGTTGTGCGCGTACAGGGTGTCCTGGAACCCATCCAGCTGGCAGTTGTGGAAGAGCGACATATCAGCGGATACGCGCACCGCAACTGCCTGCATCATCTTGGGACCTGCCCGGTTCTCGAACCCCATGTCCCTCGCTATGAAACCGTCCCCCTCGATTGCTGTACGTGCACATAACTTTTGAGTGAGCAAAATAAATAAATAAATAAATAAACTTGGATAAATATTATTACTTTCTTACCCACGGTTGTAGTCCAGAATGTTTCATATCCACCTACGAAGCTCTTGTCCCCGACAATCCTCGTCTTGGTGGGGCCATCCCCAAGGAACATTACGGACCAGGTTGTCCTGTTCACAGTAACATATTCCTCATACACACCTTCTTTGATGTAAATCACAAACGTCTTGTTACTGTTTTGCGGGGCTTCCAGCAGGGCTTCGTTAACCGTTTTGTACTTCCCGGATCCATCTTTCGCTACCACCACGTTCGGGCGGATACTCTTGGCCCCGGCCTCCAAAAGCCTACGACCTCCATTAGTTTTGCCTCTGTAATCATACCCATAGTCGTAATCTTTCAGCCCCAGCCCGTATTTTGCAGAATCTCTTGCTCCAAACAGCCTGCGACCTCCATTAGTTTTGCCTCTGTAATCATACCCATAGTCGTAATCTTTGAGCCCAAACAGCCTGCGACCTCCATTAGTTTTGCCTCTGTAATCATATCCATAGTCATAATCTTTGAGCCCGGCTATAGAATCTCTTGCTCCCAAGTGTCTGCGGTTTCCTTTCTTATGGCCTGCGTAATCATAATAGTAATCGCTGCCGTCTTCAGGCGGATCGACTCCGAAAAGCCTGCGACGACCACCATTGGTCTTACCTCTGTAATCATAATCATTATCATAATCTCTAAGCTTGAACCCTGTCATCATGAGGCGCCTCCCGGTGCTGGCCCCAGCTGGCGCTAGGAAATCCGTTAGCTGATTCGCTATTGCCAGCCCGTTTATCGTCAGCTCACGCGACAGTTTCAGAAGCTTCTCCATTTTCTTGCTTGCTTCACCTTCTATGCCCTCGAAACAATCCATGCACGTGTCCTGGTACGTGAGGGCCCCCGTGAGCCAGGTTTTGATATCGTCGATCAATAGGCGAAAATCGTCGGTCGTGTCGAACAGGGCTCCGAATCGATTGACGGTCTCTTCGAGGTCGTAAATGGAGTCATCCAGAAGCTTACGGCACGTCTTGTAGGCCCCAGCGGTGCGGGGGTCCCGGGCAGCCTCTTGAAGCGGGCCCGTCTGGGTGATCACGCGCTTGAGCTCTTGAATGGCCGTGTGGAAGCCTGCCTCGATAAGGGCTTTCGGGTCGGAGGCATTGGAGGCCTTGGTGAGGGCCGAGACGCACGTTTGCTGGTAGTGGGTCGTTTGGCAGAGGTCTTGAATGGCCGCCTTTTGGGACTGGTTGATGTTGTCGTGGACGTTTTGTTCGTTTTCGTGTTTGTCCCGGACGAGGAATACGGCGGCTGCCGCCACCACCAGGACGGCACAGAGGCCGATTACAGCGACTTTTTTGAATGCCATTCTTCTGTGTTGTTGAAGGATTGAAGGATTATTTTTTGTCCTTCAATCCAAGGATCGTTGGACCCTGGTTAAGGGTTGATGTTTCTGTTTTTAAATGCAGTGGGAGAAGTAAATTGAAAAGAAGGAATTAAATTTGTTCCTCAAGGATCCTTGGACCCTGATTATTGTGTTGATAAATTGTTGGGGAAAAATGGGTTTTATACAACTAGTGGTTGAGGGAGATGAGTTTGTTTAGAACGCGGAAATTTTATGGTTAACAAGTGAGAACAATTGAAAAAAAATTTGAAGCTGCAAATGTATCCTTAATATATGGGGGGTGTCAGGTGATTAGAATTAGAGCGTGTGGATTGATTGTCCCTAATTATCTCATTTTGTATTACTAATTAGGGAAAATAACACTTTGCGAGCTATTCGCGATTTTACACTTTGCCCACTAAACTTTTTCCGGTGACACTTTACCCCTTGAACCTTGAAAATCCTTGCACTTAATGACTTCCGGCCATCGGAGATGCAAAATGAAGGGCAAAATCGACCTTTCAATTATTAATTTACTTTGAAATAGGAAAACACTGAATTGAAGTCATTTCGGTGCGGTTTCGAAGTCACTTTTTTTGTTTACTTGGATTTACTTGGACGAGCTACCGTTTCAATATAATGGATTTACTTGGCCGAGCTACCGTTGCTAACAAAGGCCGAGTCCGAGGACGAACTAGTGTTGTATCTGTCCGTAGGTCATGTGGCGGTGAGCTCGGTGTTACTAAAGGAGGAGGGGCACTCGCAAGAACGGATCTAGTATACTAGCTGGTTGCTGCAAAGGGGCGGAAGCTAGATACAACGACATCGAGAAGGTCATGCTCGCCTTGGTACGTAGTCACAATGCGCAAGCTACGACCTTATTTTTTTTAGCTCTTAGGGTGGCAGTGCGAACAAACCTTCCGTTGGGGGACACCTTTGGACAATCTACAGCTTCAGGTCGACTGGCCAAGTTGGCAATCGAGCTTGGAGAATACAACATAAAAGTCGACCTTTGAGGGAGATCAAGGCCCATGCACTGACAGATTTTATTCAAGAACTAACAACTGATTATAGAAGTGGTCATAGATCAATTTGTGTGGATGGTTGTTCGGCCATATGGGGTGTAGGAGTTGGGATACTTATGACGTCTCCAAAAGGACATCTCCGTTAAATTGTATAGGTTTTAACTCCTTACTGATCGCCTACCAAATGTTTGGAAAAAACTCATTATACTAAAAGTCAAAAGTGGGTACACTTGATGCATCCAAGGTGAAAGTTTCCCTTATCATACTCGTTTCATATCACATTACTAGTCACATGAACAAGGAACTTATTGTGATCTCAATAATTCATCATAAAGAAATGTCGTGAACAGAACTTATAACGCGCTCTTTCTGAATATACCAAAACCTTAGCATGTCTTTAGCTCATTGTCGCAAAATATGCGTATAAACTCTAGTTAAATACGATTAAATGATACATTCGTGCGACAAGTTTAGTTAAAAATGGTAGAAAAAGAACCTTGCAATGGAATCCAATTCTTGTGGGGTAACAAAAAGATACATTCAGGATAAAGCAGAAGCCGCCCATCTTATCCTGCCAAAACAGAGAACATTGAAGAGAAAAAAAATTATTAAGTTAAGGTAGTTATCATATCTTTAAAAGCCCCAAGAATATGTGAATAGTTCATTGGATACTTTACAAAATAACCATTTTCCCATTCCTTAAACAGAAGATATAAAGCTAGACTATTCCGTATTGCAGAGAGTATGAACAGAATAGATTCTTATTAGGTCTGTCATCTAAAATCTTTCTGACTTAGACTCGATTCATAGCAGCACATGGCAATGTTCATACTCTAAGTGCATGCATTGTATTTTGCACAAAAATATCTAAGTTATAAGTACAGCCATCTTTTTCATCTCTTTTACTGGATTCGTACGTTTTCGTTATCTTATCACATGTTTGACCAATTGTTCGATACGGGTGGAAAGAAATAGAGTTTACTTGTGATTAATTATTTTTGTTAACGGATTCATTGTTAGAAAATGTTAGTCCTTTTAACTTGTTGTAAATATTTATATACTATATATACCAAGATAATTCTTGAAGTTTCGTTATTCGATCTCTTCATAAAGCATTGACGTCTATCTTTCTAGATAAAGTATCGACATATCAGTATTGTTTATGTTTTCTATTTGGGAATGACTATCAGTGTATCAGCCTCAGATTTCCACTATTTTGCTGCTTTTTTTGTAAAGCATAAGTTCTTGTAAATGATCCCAAACGAATTGCCACTTGTCGTAAAGCAATTGGTGCCACATGGGCACATTCTAATTTTTTTCCCCATAATATGAAAACAGGGCTTTCTATATAAAGGGCTGTTTACTCCATAGACTCTCAACCAAGAAAAGTATAAGCTACACTATTTCCATCATCTATATACTCATATATAATACTTAGAAGAAAAAAAAGAAGGAAAAAGAAAAAATGGGGTACAAAGACGAACTCCTTAGAATAGGGAAGGATGGGTTTGCAATAATAGAAGAACACATGGAAAAGAAGAAGTGCCAAATATGGTCTCCGAAGAAGAAACCTTATCCTCCACACGAAAGGCCAACAACAGTTGAATCCAAACAACCTCGACTGTATCAATATCAGCCTAAGCAAACTCGCGTCTATCAGGTAAAACCACTTGCAGAAAACGAGGTCATGAGGGTGAACAAGTATGAGGCCGTGGATTTTCGTGGGGTGTCGATTATGGACTATTCTAAGAGGAGTGCCGAGACTATGTTCTACTAACTATGCAAGCATGCATGACTTTTATCAACCTTTTACTAATAAAAGCATGCTAGTCTTGTTGTTGTAATCCTGAATAATTATGAAGTTACTTTTATGTATATTTTACTTGCGGTTCGTCGCTTATGTAAGGCTGATTTTATAGCGATTTCTATGCGTCGGAATGCAAAATGATGCCTGTGTTCTCTGCTTTTAGAAGAAGAAATCAATCATCAAGTTAGCTATATAAAATCACTAATTAATTTAGCTACGTCAATTAACGTCGAGGTCACCTCTTTGATTCTTTTACAACAGAAAAACACCTAAATCATTTGCACCAAAGTTAAAAACTCGACGAATAACTACTATTTTATATTAAACTCGATAATGTTGTCATTTTACTTGTAAAAACAGAGCAACCAAAATATTTACTAATTTCTCTCTTGGCTGTAGAACTTTTGAACAGAAGTTTCTGACAAGTTTTAGTTGGAGTCTGAAGCTTAACTGATAAACATTATAGTTATGAAACAGTGATGGTAAAATAAATCATTTCATTTTAAAAACCTTACACTGGTCCAGGCCCGGCTCTAGTGGGGAGGCAACCTAGACATGGGCCTAGGGCCTCCCTTTATTTGGGGCCTCATTTTTCTTTATTTTTTTAATATTTTATATTATGTATTTGTGTTGGGTTTTGTCTATCTACACAAATGAGGCCTTATTATTTTTTTAATATTATATATTGGTGTTGAACTTTGTCTATTTAAACAATTAAAGAGATTAATGGTTAAATATGGACTTCACTCATTACACAAATGATGGGGCTAATAGCAAAATATATAATTTGTGTTGGAAATTGAGGCCCTAAATATTTCTTTTTTTTTCATATGATATTCGGTCAGAACAAGTTGTTTGAGAATAAATATTCTTTGTACTGATGTGATTTTTATTTCCTTCTATTTGTTGTCCTCGTGACTGAATGAATGTAATTTATTAAAGATATACTGTAACCTGGAGGTAATTTGTCAATTCTAAATTCAAGAAAAACAAGATTTTTTTTCAATTATTTATTTATTTAATTTTATTCGTTTAAATGTATGATTCTATATGCAAGTAACCCTAATTACCACGTAAATTCAATTCCGAAAAATTCAAAAAAAAAAAATTGTCTAGGGCCTCCGAATTTCTGGAGACTGCCATGCACTGGTCATATATATAAAGTAAATAATGCTATCAGTAATTGATTATAAAGTAAAGCTATTAGCAAAGGATAATGCTTTTGGAATATACTGAAGCCTCTCAACAAATTACAGTTATTACTCTAATTATTCATGCCTTTTAAACCCTATTTAATCACATTAAATAGTGGTCACGTTGAGATAAGGCATACTTATCTCAACGTGACCAGTATTTAATGTGACTTATCTCAACGTGACCAGTATTTAATGTGATTAAATAGGGTTTAATCTCTACATTATTTTGTATATAAATACTAAAATATTTAGGTGATTTAGATTTTGTAGTTGCCTAAAAATGTATGTATTATTGAAAATAAAAAACATGTGAGGATAATTTATCAAAAGGGCCACATTTTTTTTAAAAAATTTCAGCATAAATTCATGAAATAATAAGGAAAAAATTATTTAAATCTATTTTTATTTCATTTTGAGAATAAACCGTAAGCTATAATAGACAAGTCTTTTGAGGAAAGGGAACTTTTTGAGCTGGAAAAAAATCGAGTATTCTCGTTTTTTATAAGATAATTGAAGTTTCGATAGAGCGTTCAGAGCGTCTGGTTTAGGCAAAGTATGTAATTAGAACAACCACAACACCTTGTTTTATTTTTTCATGATGTTGATACGAGAGACAGACAAATTTTGTAGTGAAAATCATCTTAATCGAATGACACGAATTCTCTACTAACCAAGTATATATACACAAAAGTAGAGCTACACATACTGAAAGATAACCTAAGGCTAATATAGTAAATACACAATTATACACAATAACACCCCCATCAAGTTGGAGCATGCAGATTTCGTATGCCCAACTTGCCAAGAAAGAAATCGAACTCATGCTTCCCAAGCGCCTTGGTAAAGATGTCAGCGACTTGTTTCCCAGAAGGAACATGAGTAGGAGGAATGAGACCCTGTAGAACAACATCACGAACAAAGTGGCAATCCACCTCTATGTGTTTGGTGTGCTCATGA